TACTTAAGTAATGAATGTGAATACTTTTGACACCTCTGAGAATTACAGATCTGTAGTAAAACAACAACCAACCTTTTAATAAACTATTTAGCCTGCAGCAAATACCTCGTTTGCAGTCAGCTCTAGACAAATGCGGCGTAAATGTTTTAAACATTTGTCTAATTCAGACCTATAAATACTGAAAACCTGCATACTCACGTGTAGGTTATAGATTTTCTTTTCTTCAGCCTGTCCGAAGGAGTTTATTTTTCTTTTCCTTTTCCTCCCCCCTTATATCTCCTCCTCCTTCAGGTAAACATGAACAGGTTGTGCATTCCTGAGCCCTGCCCACAGGTGGAGTTTCCACTCTGGTCACAGACGCTGCACCTACAGCTCCTTACTCATCACTGATCCTCTGCTTCATGACGGGTTCAGACAAGCCCCCAGAGTCAGATAGTACCTTTGCCACAAAGTTGGATACTTCTTTTTGTTTTAGTGTTTAAACTCAYGATATTTTGCTGCTCATGTTTTTGAACTTTTATAATGCCTGTGAAAATAATTAGAGAAAGTTTCCAGAATCATTGAAGGCTTCCAGCCAACTGTGGTTAAAAAAGTTCATTTTTCAAGACCTCAAATACACAGGAATGTGAAMGAAAACAAACAGAAAAAAAATCTATCAAAAAAGTTTCAAAAGAGTTTTTCAAAGCAGATTAAAATGAACTTTTCAGATCTGAACCAGTTCAGAATCTTTAGTTAGTTCATCCATCCTTTATCTTCCACTTTYTCCAAAGTCAAGTCGCGGGGCAGTAGCTTGAGCAGGAAAGCCCAGACCTTRCTTTCCCCAGCCACTTCTTCCAGCTCTCCTGGGAGGACTCCAAGGCGTTCCCAAGCCAGATGAGAGACATAGTCTCTCCAGCYTGTRCTGGGTCTTCCTCTAGGTCTCCTCTCAGTCGGACATGCCTCCTGGACCAGGSAGGCATCCAGGAGGCATRCTTACCAGATGAACCACCTCAATTGGCTCCTCTCGATGTGGAGGAGCAGCAGCTCTACTCTGAGTRTCTCCCAGATAACTGAACTTCTCATCTTATCTCTGACGGAAAGTCCAGCTGTGAACAAAACCCCAAGATWCTTGAACTCCTCTACTTGAGGCAGAACACGGTCGAATGCCTTCTCCAATTCCACAAAACACATGTAGRCTGGATTAGAAAACTCCCATGACCTCTTGAGGACCCGAGTGAGGGTAAAGAGTTGCTCCAGTGTTCCTCGACCAGGATGGAAACCAGAGCTGTTTAACTACCMCAGTGAACTCGGCCCAACCCCGAAGTCCTCAGACTCTTTGAAGCTCGATAGAAGACGTGCCGGTGGGARTGAAGATCCAAGAAGTATTCCTTCCACCTCTCAACAGGTTGAGGTCCGCAGTACCCCACCTTTCACTGAGCACAGTGTTACTTAACCTGCTTAGTTAATTCTGTTAGMGCCATTATTCATGACTCTCACTAGTCTCTAATGTTGGTAATCTTCCTTTTTTGAATCAAACATGACTTTTAATTAATATTGATTGATGCCGTTATRTGGTTAACTATAAATGTATTCACCGTGCCGTATTTGTGATATATTTGCTTTCTCAATCTGATAATAGATYTACAGCAGCTTGTGAAATCCTTTTCTGWGAAAGYCGCTATACAAACTTTTACTTACTTACTTTACTTACTTACTAATAAATACTGTTAGACCTATTATTTGTTTTTTCTGTTAATCTCATCACCAGTTAGTCACTTGAGTTTCAGCACTATTATAGTTACTACTTATTCCCAACATTATTTAAAGTCAGTTAGTCTTGTAAATTCTGTTATMTCCTTTTAGTCCCATTCTTAGTGTGAGTGAAGCAGGCTCAGTTGAACACCCAGAAGGCTCTTTCAAACACAACATTTTTCTTCAAGTAATAAGAGCCCTGATGATACATTTTGTGACTTTARTGAACTTAAGAAATAATACAAACKAACAAACAAACAAACAAACAAARAAACAAACAAACTCAAGACTAATAGAAAGTGACAGTCAAAAGACTGTGTTACTCTGTGGTGCAAAACTTCTGCTCTGCTGATGCGTTTCACACTTTACATTATCGATCTAGTAACCAATCAAAATGCACCACGTAATAAGCTAACATACAATTATTGTTGCRTATTTTACTCAACACAATAGCAAACTATTATTCATAGAAATAACTCAAATAACAAAAAGAAAATACATATTTTGCATTAAGTTTTTTTGTCCAGCCAATTCTGCCACTAGTTAAAACAATAACAGCTGGATGCAAAAGTTCTGAGTTTCCCTTTTTTCATTTTACTACTTATTTCAGTTTTTTAACAGTAATAAATTGTTGAAAGAATATTATTATTATTTTTATAGATAGCATTTGAGACAAAAAAACAACCTTTAATTTCATCCTAAACACATCTGATAAGGATTGCCATAAATCCATGTTCACTTTGGTAAAAACATTAGCAACTACTAAAATCTATAGTGAAGTAAATCTTGTAGCTGTGATACTGAAATCCTACTTTTCTACCTCAACAGCTTCATTGAGAATTCAGAATAATTTCAGCTATGAGACAGGTTGGTGTCAGTGTGTCTGGGGAAATACTGAAATTAGAAAGTACKATGGGATTATTAGGGTTCTAATAATTAAGTTTTGCAGCGAAGCCCCTCAGGAGGTTTAGTTCTGATTGTTGCCCACACCACATGTATCCTCCAAGCAGCCAGCTTTATTACACCTAAAGTGCAACAATATAAATAGAAGAAAGTTACAATTATCTGAAACACACAGTAGATTCACTTTATACATATATATTCTTGTTTTTATTTTGCATTATTTTACCAGACATTACACTAAAGATAAACAAAAGTATAAGTGGGAGTGAAATGTGATCACAATACATTCCAGAAAATGTAGTTGGAGAGTTTGCAGATAAAAAAATCATTTAGTCCTGTCAATCTGTAAAACATTAATAAGTAACTGGTAAATGGCTTAAACTTTTATAGCACCTTATCAAATCCATATGGACCCAAAAGTGCTTTACTCTACAGTCAATCACACACTAATGGTGGTAAGCTACATTGTAGCCACAGCAGACTGATAGAAGCGAGGCTGCCATGCGCCAGCGCTACTGGACCCTCTGACCACCATCAGTAGGCAACGTGGGTGAAGTGTCTTGCCCAAGGACACGACGACTGCAATAGCTCCAACAGGGGATTGAACTGGCAACCTATCAGTTACAAGACGACTCCCCTAACCACTCCTCCACAGCCAAATGTCAAACTTTTATAATCACCACCTAATGATGCCGGTGAAAGGGTGATATTTTCCCCATGTCTGTGTGTATGTCTGTATCTTTTAGCAAAATATTTGATGAACCATTGTATGAATTTTATTGAAAATTTCAGAAAGTAATCATAAAGTGTACATCTGCAACTGAGTAAACTTTGGAATCAGCCCCTTTAAAAATTATTACAGTGGGTGACATCAGAAAAACAAAAACACAGTTTGTACTCTGTCATTTTTAGAGATTTGTGCAAAATCTTAGGCATGACAGAAGCTGAGTTAGAAGCAGCAGGATTCACAACAGACCCYTCCGTCCGTCCGTCCGTCCATTTTCTGCCGCTTATCTGGGATCGGGTCGCGAGGCAGCAGCCAGAGAGACCCAGACTTCACTCTCCCCAGCCACTTGGACCATCTTGTCTGGGGGAATCCCAAGGCGTTCCCAGGCCAGCCGAGAAACATAGTCCCTCCAGCGTGTCCTGGGTCTTCCCGTGGGCCTCCTCCCAGTGGGACGTGCCCGAAACACCTCACCAGGGAGGCTTCCAGGAGGCTTCCTAACCAGATGCCTGAGCCACCTCAGCTGGCTCCTCTCGATGTGGAGGAGCAGCAGCTCTACTCTMAGTCCCTCCCGGATGACCGAGCTTCTCACCCTATCTCTGAGGGA